TTTTTGTTCCGGGTACCGGCCACTCATTGATTCCTTTCAGCTTCGCGGGATCCATCACCACCTCATCGCCACCGAACACATAGCCGACGTAGTCGACTTTGGGAACGTCCCACTCGCACTTCTCAGGCTTCAGGAACAGATTGTTGTCCTGAAGGCGACGCAGAACCTCGCGTGTGACCTTTTCATGCTCCTCTTTGTTGGTGGAGAAGATGAGTATGTCATCTAGGTACACAAGGATCTTGCCGCCAACGATGAGATCATGGAAGATCTCGTTCATCATGGCCTGGAAGGTCGCGGGGGAATTAGTGAGGCCAAAGAACATCACCAGGGGTTCGTACAGTCCCCGGTTAGTTACGAAGGCCGCCTTCCATTCGTCACCGGCTTTGATCCGGACGTTGTTGTATCCCCATCGGACATCGAACTTCGTGAAGAGCGTAGCGCCGCGGAGCTTATCCACCATTTTGGCAATCAACGGCAAGGGATAACGATTGTTGACCGTGATCGCGTTCAATCGGCGGTAGTCCTGCACAGGTCGAAGCGTCCCTTCCTTCTTTTTGATGAAGAAGAAGGGGGACGAGATGGGCGACTTCGATTCCCGTATGTAACCCTTCGCTAGTTGCTCCTTGAGGAACTTGTCAAGCTCCTCCTGCTCGTTGTTCGACAGGGGGTACACCTTCGAATGGAATGTCGAATAGCCGGGCACGAGTTCGATTGCGTGATCATACGGCTTCCTTTCGGGTAACCGTTCTGATGCTTCCTTGGAGAAGACATTCAGGAACTCGTGGTACTGTTTAGGTACCGACTCTTTGGCGGTCTTAACGACCTTCTTTTTGATCTCCTCCTCAGCGAACAGCTGGGAGTACATATGTCCTGCTGCAACGAACAGCTGAGGAGCACCGGGAAGCGTGATGCCTTGCTCCCAGGCTTCGATCAAATCGACCTCATCCCACTCTACCTCCACCGGATCTTCCTCGGGTTCGAAGTCCGGGAGTACCTTACTCCGGCAAGCGCCTATAACTGACCATTTGGATTTCGGCAAATGCCTGCGCGCCGTGGGCCTGTCCCCCGTATCACGCGCAGTCGCTGCTTGCTCCATTCGGCCAGTCCTCCTGGCACTGCACGTTTCAGGGCATCGTGACAATTTGAGGGAGCCCTTCTCCCAATCTATTTCGGGGTTGTGCTCGCGTAGCCAATCCAACCCGACAATCACGTCTTCCGGACCGATGTCCATGACCGTGAACACCGTCTTCTCGACATGCTCTCCTATTTGCATCTGTAGCATGGCTACTTCCGAGATGCTTCCATCTTTGTTGAGGGTGCCGTCGATATTGTAGAGCGGAATCGGCTCTTTTAGCTTCCGCGTCTGCACCTTATTCTCTATAATGAATCACTTGTTGATAAACTTCGTGGTGGCTCCGCTGTCCACCATAGCAATTATGTCTTTATGCCGTCTTTTTCCTTGAAGTCGTACTGGGATGTGAAAATGTTGGGACCCCTGGTCCAATTCGTACACCATGGCAGTAGACAATATGTTATACTTGTTACAGGATGATATTCGCGGCCCGACGCGTGCGGCACGAAGCGTGGACCAGATCAAAAACCCTCCTCCTTCATCGCCCGATAGTGCTCGAGCTCCTCACGCATCGACTTCACCTGTGCCATTAAGTCCGCCAGCTCCGATTGTTCGGATTTCGCTGAAGCGGCACTTATACTTGCCGAGGGTGTTGTTGTGATGGGGGCGCTTGTCGCGGCCTGGGTGGATCCCGAGGCAACCGTAGCCCGCGCGTCGGCGCGTTTTGTGTAAGGCTTGTCCTTACAATTGGGGCACTCGAAGCGTCGGTACCCTTGCTTCCCACAGCCGAAGCATGTGCCGGGGAAGTTTCCTTTTCCGATGGCCGCATTGATGCTGGCCGAAGCTGCGTGTGACGAGGGTGCACCACCACGTGCCCCTCCGCGTCCTCGACCCCGTGCCGAGAAGAAGCTGTTTAGCTCGGGCCGACGAGCCCGGCTAACGTCGAGGATTTGCTCGACCTCGGTGGCGCGCTTGTCAGCGGCTTGCCACGTGGTGAAGGTTTCGAGCTCGAGTTTGCGATAGACGCGGGAAGGGATGCCGCTCAGGTACTTGTCGCGTAGTTCCAGGTTCCCATACCCGGAACGGTCCGCCGGACCCTTGAACAGCGCAGAGAATTCTGCGGCGGTGCGCTTTTTGCGCATGGTTTTGTCGGAGCAGAGCTTGTTAAGCTCCACCTGTGCCGCGGCGGCGTCGTCGAGATTGCCAAAACGGGCCTTGAATGCCTGAAGGAAGGCTTTTTCGTCGACGAAGGGGGTTGTCGCTCCCTGGATCCCGATTTGGACGGAGGCAAGCTGGGAGAAGATGGGGGGAGGAAGGGGAGGTGCGCGTGCTACAAAAGGCCGTGCTAGCTAGCTTACACCTACGGCGCCCAAGAAGACACTAAGGTTCGCAGTTCACGTGGGGCCCAGTACTGCTTTTGGCTAGTATGCAGCAGGAACCTAAGCCACGCGTCCGTGAGGACAAGTACCGCCCACTGAAGTGCAGGTACTGAAGAGTTCGTCCCCTAAGTGGTGGCGATGTATAGTACGCTATCTAGGTATCATAGGGTACCGTAAGGGTGCGCACCACCCAACCTATAGGAAGTGAATGTAAGTGTGTGGGTCCCGATGGAACGCCGGCAGCTATGGGGAGTTTCGACCTAATGTCGCGACTTGAGGTCGAGCGACAGAGGAAAACCTGAAAGCTGGGGGCGTTCGACTGGTTCTTACCGAAGCGATGGTGAGCAACGCTCAAACCTAAGGCTAGGGACAAGTGAATGTATTAGTTAGTAAGGTAAGAAAGGAATACAAATGAGGGCTTACTGACCTAGGAACAAGAGGTCGAAACTGAGGTCCCTAGGGCAGCAGAGGCCGGCTTATATACATGGGGAAATTTAGGGCAGGCTGTGCACGTTGGTCCGTGCGCAGCTGGTCTGTGCGCAGCATGCCGACGCGGCCCCGGGGGCCGGTGAGTCAGAGCGGCTGTGTCAGCGGGGCCCGAGCTGTGCCGTGTGCTGCCGTCCTACCTAATCTGATCGTACAGTAGATAGTGACGCGTCCATATCAGGCAGGTAGTACAGAGGTTGCGGGTTCGAGCCCGCGAAAAGGAAAAAATTAAAAGACGGCTAGACGCCGTACTAACTCGTGACATTACCCCCCCCTCAACGGCGCATGACCTCATGCGAGGCGCCCTTGCCCATCTCCCACCCGGAGCGGCAGCGTGCTTCAGTCAGCGGCGAAGGCATCGGCTGAAAGTTGAGACCACCAAATGTAACAGCATTGAGGCGGCGAGGGGCGTTTGGGTTCTTCCGGTGGAAGTCGGCTATGAGGGCCGGCGCATTGGCAACGTTGCGCACCGGTTCCCATGACATATGCAAGTCGTCATAACCCTTCCACTTGACGAGGTACTGCAGCTGACGCCGGAAGATCCTCGAATCTTTGATCCACTCAACTTTGTACTCCTCGTCGCCCTCAACCTCGATCGCAGGCGGTTCCTCCGGCTCTCGGCCCGGGATATCGCTGCGCGTGTACTTGCTAAGCAAGGAGACATGGAATACCGGGTGCACCGGCACCGACTTTGGCAGGACTAATTCATAATCCAGGTCTCCGAGCTTTCGCCGCACGGCATATGGTCCAAGGCGCTTGGGACTGAGCTTCTTGCTCGGCTGTTTCAGCTTAAGGTTCCGGGCATCAAGCCAGACCTTATCCCCCGGCGCGAAGACCGGTGCCTGTTGCACGTGCTTATCGTAGTACACTTTCATACGCTTGGCCGACAGCTCGAGCGCAGAGCGCGTATCGTCGCGAATCTCCTTCAGGATCTTGAGCCGATCAGCGGCCGCAGGCATCGCAGACATCGGGTTGATCCGAACCTGGATCTCAGGATTGTACCCTTGATGCAGGAAGAAAGGGGAGTGCCCGGTCGTGGAGTGAACTCGGATGTTCAGTGCGAATTCCGCGAGCGGCAACTGCTTTGCCCAATCATCCTGCCTGTGGCTGGTGAAGGTGCGCAGGTACTGTTCGATCTCCTGATTCCAGCGCTCAGTCTGGCCGTCTGTCTGAGGGTGGAACGCTGTGGACAGCGCCGGCTCGATCCCTAGTCCCTTGTACACCGCATGGAGATACTTCGAAGCAAACTGGGGACCTCGGTCTGATATGACCTTGGCCGGGGCCCCATGATGCTTGAACACATCACGGATGTACAGGTCTGCCGCACCTTCTGCCGTCAGGGTCTCATGACAGGCTGAGAAGTGGACCTGCTTTGTGAAGCGGTCGGCGGTAACCAGGATCGAGTCGAATCCATCAGACTTTGGCAAGCTGACGATCATATCGGTCGTGATGATCTGCCACGGGCGCTCGGGGATCTCGTTCGGCTTCAGTGGACCCTGGGGCTTGGCTGGGAATGTCTTGGTACGGTTGCACACGTCGCAGGTGCTTACGTACTCATTGACAAATTTGGACATTCCTGGCCACCAGTAGTTCCGCGATACGAGCTCCAGGGTTTTGGCACGACCACCATGACCGGCGATCGGCGAGTCGTGGTGGATTTTGACTATATCCCGCCGGAGCTCTGCGT